CTGTAATGTCTAATGTATGTACCAAGTTTGAACAAAATCCATCCATAAATGCCAGAAATACTTGATATTTAATGATTTTTTAGTACAAAAATGACAACCATTCGGTCATTTTGAATAGGATCGTCAAACTAATATATCTATGACATGATGTATAATGAATATTAAAAAATTTGAACATAATCAGTCAAAGCAATATATTGGAGATATGGCACGAGAACTACATTGATTAATACAAAATGGCCGCCAGTCGGCCATTTTGAATGTTATCTGAAAAACAAAATTAATTGCATCAAGGTCCCATAATGTCTAATGTATATACCAAGTTTGAGCAAAATCCATCTGTAAACAGCCGGGAAATGGTTGCTTTTTATGATTTTTTAGCACAAAAATGGCCGCCATTCGGCCATCTTGAATCAGATCGTAAAACAAAATGATGTGCATCAAGGTCCTATAATGTCCAACGTATATACAAGGTTTGAACAAAATCCATCTGTAAACAACTGGGAAATGCTCGATTTTGATGATTTTTAGCACAAAAATGGCCGCCATTCGGCCATCTTGAATCAGATCACGCACGCACGGAGGTCAAAACATAAGTCCCCGTTTTCGGACTGCGTCCGAACGGGGACTAAAAAGAAAAAATTTATAGAGTTATGATACCATATATTATTCCATATAGTCGCCGCCATCTTGGCAATTTTCAAGCGCCCTCTATTGGGTCAGATGAGAATGTGAGCAGGATTTATTTGTGCACTGTGACATCAAAGGCTAGGTTAATTAGTGTCCAACTTAGGGGGTTACACAATGTATAATGAAGAGGAAAGTAATCACTTAGAGAGTCATAATTCATCGCGCAATTTTCAAGGGAGTGATGGCTGTCTGCAAATACACTACACTACTCATTTTGCCCAACCTTCCGCTTTTACAAAATAGAATTCCCTCCTATCGACTATCTAACATGTTTGTATTTTCTGTCGTGACAAAGCAAGAGTATTTTTGCACCCCTGTTTTGCTACTTCCGGGAAAGTGGTATATTGACCGCTTACTGCTTAATTTCCGACCGTGCGGTTTTGTCCGACCGGACCATTTTTTTTTAGCTCGCTCATTGAAAACACCATCTGCTCGCCCAAACACTAATCACAGATACATGAGTGGTCGAATTGGTGGTTTTGATAGTAAAGTATGAAAATACTATTATTAAATTTCGAACGACACTTCAAATCTATAGTTGTACGAAGCTTGTGGGTGCTTGTTCTAAATGTAATATTTTTATTTTATTTTAATAAGACAGTTACGTGAAAAAAAGATAGCTAACTCCTTTCGACAGAGCGGAGAAACAAGGTGAATATTAATGATTAATTCCAAAAATAACGATACCAAAATCACGTCGGTCCACATGCGGTTGGTATGGTAACATTTGAAATTCAATTTTCAAAATTAAGTCACGATCAATGTCGTAAATTATTCCCACAAAATAATATTTTCGAATAAAACGGCCACATGCCCTGAAAAAATCGAACAGACATGTATGAATAATTTATTGGGCTTTATAAAAAAAAAACATGTCAAATTTAATTATAGTCATAAATATTTGGTGACCAGTCGATGAACAATTCGAAAACCATGATTCACACGCGAAAGTCCTTCGGTACTGAAAATCATCGACCCTACTCTGGTTTACCTTATTTCAAAACTTGCAAATAAAACTGATTCGCTGTGAACTCTAATATATCTCAGCCTATTTTTTTTTCTTTTGAACTGTGGTCAAATCCCACCAGTTTGTCAAAATATAACGATGTTTTTCATTGAATATTTTTAAAGCCTGTCACAGCACAAAAAGTATGTGAATCGACGCCGGAGATTGGATGGTACGACGACCCTTCAATTAACATAAAATATGCTTGGTTACAACACCATTGATTGGCTGAAAGTCACCTGATCGGAGCGCGACCTGGGTCACAGAACCATATTTGTTCGTATTATCACAGGATAGAAAGAACCACACCTACATTTTCACCATTTTTAGCGCGGAAATTGCCAGCATCTGTCGAAAA